ATTTGGCTGCGCTGCCTCGTGTGTAGGAACTGATAGCCAAATCCTGTCGCAAATGTTTCCCCCTTTTCTGGCAGTGTAGGTGACCTGAGTGCTTCGTAGTGGAATGACTTAAGATTGTGAAGTCTGTCCCAAACCCTTCTTGCTCACGGAGTCCTGAGTGACACCTGGTACGGGGCCACCCAGACTGCACATCAGATTGCCAGAGGGCGTTGCAGGCTGCCATGGAAAGTCAGCTGCTAAGTAGGTCTCAAAAATTGTTGGGCTTGTGATTCCAGAAGTAAAACCAGAATTGAGGTCACCAACTTCACAGCCTGTAATCAGAGGTTATAATTGGAAGTAAAAGCGTGGCACTTTTGCAAGGACATTTTCTGTGTTTACCCATTGCACGGTGACTTACTGGCACCAGTTTGGCTCTCAAGGGAGCCTTTTGCACAGCAGTAGACAATAAAAGAATTATTACAAAGCTAAAAAACGGTGATGGGCCTTCAGTGATTAGAGTACTACCAGAAGCTGTTGTAATCTTTTCCATTTTAAACAACCAAGATTTCCGGCTGACCAAGTCTATTTCTAATTCTTGGGGTTTTAATATTGCTCTTTTGACAAGGCTCAGTCAGAATTTCAGTTAAATGATACTTCAGGATTTCCTTGTAGAAGGACCCAGTCCTTACTGACCCAGGAGCCTAGTACTCTTAACCAAAAAAGCAGCAAACAGCTCAGCGCGTTTTTAGATCGCCTACAGATCAGTTCCAAAGAGGGTGCATGTGGTGGGACATGCAGCGGTGCTGGGTACCCGGGTCCAAAGGGCAACTGCCAAAATCTGCCCCGAGTTGCTGCTTTCTCATGCAGACCCTTGAACTCCACAGGAGTCACATGCTGGACGGTAATGATTCCCAGAGATCCAGAGAGGTTTGAGTCCTGCCCCACGGGGCAAGCATGACAGACTTCACAGAGTTGAGGAGACAGGCATCTAAGCTACTCCTAAAACTCCACCCAAATCCATTAATCAGATTCCTCTCCATCACTGCCATCTCAAGGAGGTTACAGACCAAATCCAGTAATTAGGTGCTACAAAACTGAGAGACACAGAAACACTGGAGCAGCTCCATGAAACCCATGTGGAAAAATCTTCAGGAGGGCAATAATTGCTAGATGCATTTTTGAGGAGAGGTGAGCAGCCCTGAGCAGAAAGCGTACCAACCACCTCAACAGTTTAGCCCTTCCTCTGGCAGAAATCTTGTTCTGGGAGGGACTGTCTCCTGAGACAGTGCTGGGCCCGCTGCTGGTGCCGAGGCACGACGTGTATCTCCGAGCCACGCTGTGCAGGTCTTTGTTGGACCAAGACAGTAACGTTGCTTGTTGCCTAGAGTTGACTTTGCAAGCGTCCAGGCTGCTGATAGACTGTTATAAATACATTTCAAAAGTAAGGTTTAATGATTCCAAGGTCAACACGGTGAAAAGCTGTCTACTGAAGACACATATTAAGGGATGCGGCTTCACAGCGGCAGCACTGTTCCAGCTTTTCACCTAAGAAAAGGTGAAAAGCGTTCCAGCTTTTCACCTAAGAGCGCTCCGTTCAGGGCTACATTGGTCTTATTTCTTAGTTGGCATTTGCAGATCGTCAGAGAAATGCAAGCCAGAAAGGAAAACGTGATGCTCTTAGATCCAGTGACAGCAAGGCAGAGCAAGAGAAGGTGCTAATATTAAGGGTAATTTACCTACCGGAGACAGCATGTGGCAGTTTGGGTGGCTGCTAGACACCACGCTTGATAGGGAGCTTTCAGCCGATTTGTAAGGGACACAAGTTTTTCCCAAGAAGTTGCAGAACTGGGGAGTTACCTTGTTTTTCTTTTTCACATTTGTTTTTATTACAGTGGTGGTTACAGTACCAATACAGGTCCCTGCTGCTACTTACCTCCCCATAAGCAGCTTTCATCTCTCAGAATCCAATAAAGATGTCCAATAGAGGGACTTCCTTGACAAGGACCACCATAATTATCATTTCTCCACTTTAAGAAGAGCTGGGCTAAGCTATAAGGTGTTGGGCTGTGGGATAGTTCCTCACAGCAGGA